TCTCCAGGCAGATCTAAAGGAGCTAAGGAATTTCGTGACAGACATACGGGCAGAACGACGGACAGAACAAGAGACGAAGCGCTTCCATGCTATCCGTGGTTCGTATGATTGAAGCGATAGGAACGAATTGTACCTATGCAGGATAGGTATTGATTAGCGAGCCCGACAATCACAGCCCGGACCTGTTGACATGAGTCTATCTTCCGCACTGAGTGATGCCCTTCTATCAAAGCTGAGAAAATTCTAAGCTCTGAAGACGGATATTACATCCTGTTTACCCTGTTGTCGCCTCTACGTGCTGCACATATGCCCCGCACATGGGCCTCCACTCACTGCAGTTCACCGCGCGCGGCAAGCGACAAAGTCGCACAGAAAGCACAAAAAGGGTAAGGTTGTGTTGGCCATTTACATAGAGAAGACGAAGAGATAGCAGATTATATGAATGGATAGGCCAGAGAATGTGGTGCTTCAGGAAATATTCCGCATTCTCCTCTACTTGAACACTATCTGATTGTCAGCAACAGTCAGTCATGCTCCGAGTATAAAGGTAACGCGACTTTAAGGTGAGAAAACGCTCTGCACTCTTACAAGCCAGCTCCCAAGGGATTAGCTTTCCCAAGAATCCGAATCTTCGTCTGTTAACGATCAATTTCCCATGAATGGCACGCGTTTTTGACAAAGCTACAGCAAAGCCTCCAAAAGTTATTTCCATGCCGGTAAGTATAAACGCAACTCACATCAGCTTCAGCCTTCGGTAGCGGAACGAAACTTGAACTATCACAGTCTCGAATATAAATGGGATCCGCATCAGAGCTCTGAAGCAAAAGTAATCACATGCCGACTCATTGTGAGTTCTTTTTCTGGGCTGGTAAACTTGCCACAATCGACCATCTCGTCTGCTCGTCACCAAAAAACTGCATTGGCGGGCGATCTTCACTGGTGGGTTTTGAGGACTGAAACTGTACGAGTTAGGAAGTCATCGTTGGTAACAAAATGTTTCAACAATGCAATAAAAGTCCCAAATGTGCTCCACTATTGAGACTTCCCTTGATCTTCGAGGACACTCTCCCCTTAGGGGCATGATGACCTGTGGTGACCTAGTTTCAAGGTGGAGACCACTATGGCACTTCCTGTACCATATCCATGCCATCACCTTCATATCATCGCTGTGACTCCAG